CATAAGCCCTGGCTGCTTTGGCTCTGCAGTTAGAGCATCAGCCCTCGGACCAAAGAGTTGTGGGTTCGATTCCCCCACCCTGATTGGGGTCATGTGGGAGGCAACCAATCGATGTGTCTCTCACATCAATGTTTCTCTCTCCCTCCTTCTCTCCCATTCTATCTGAAAAATCAATGGAAAAACATCCTCCAGTGAGGATTAAAAAATGGAAAAGAAAACTGGGATGGGGGGATGGTACTTCCTGCCAATTCTCAATGACCATTTTCTAACATTCTAAATTAATAATTCTTAAATAAAGACAATGAAGTCTGTGAAAACCACCTGAGTCTAGGGATTCAGGTTATACATTTCACATATGTTCCCTTTAAAGGACAGAATTGTTTTATGGTAGTTAGAATAAACTCAAAAGAAACCAATGAAAATTAGTGAAAATAAAAAAACACAGCTACAAAATTAAAATTCTAAAACAAAGTAATATGATTAAGTAATCTGACCTTAATAACTCAGAGTCCATCTTTTTCATCTATGCAAGACTTACCAAAAATTTGTCTTCTGACCACAGACAAGTTAACTCTTCTTGTCCATGACTAACATTCAAATATTTACAGATAAATGCTTTGTTCTCCAGACATCATGGTGCAGAACTCTAGAACCTCAAATTGGTACTGGCTTCAATGTTTGACTATTTCCTAAGGAAAATCTAGGCCTACCTGCAGGTGGCAAATACCTCACCATGTCACATTCTTCCATATTTAAAACACCAATATTAACCTTACTATCAAACACACCTGACATAGGAATCTACAGTTCCAACTTGCTTGCTCTCCAGACAGACACCAGCCTAAAATAAATATTAGAAAAGGGGAAATCTACAAATACTAACCATTTAATTGTCTAAAGTCTCCACCTACCAAAAAGTGTGTTTTTATTGTCCATTAAAGAGTTATAAAAGAGTGTCCTGGGAAGTTGACTCTGTCTTTTTTAAAAAACTACTACGGAACATATTGTGCATCATGTTATTCTGAGTCTGTTGATTAACAGTTATTCCGCTGAGAGTTCAGTACCAATAAAATGTCACACTCACCTATTCACTTTGTCTTGACTGTAAGGAAGGTCAAAGCTGAATTTTATGCCTACCTGACAGCTTTAGGTTTTGGTACACTACCTCCATCTTTCTATTGCCTTCACTGCAAACTCTTGTTTCTTTTATTCTTTTTGTTGTTGTTGTTAATCCTCACCAAAGGATATTTTTCCATTGATTTTAGAGAGAATGAAAGGAGGAAGGGAGGGAGAGAGAAACAAATATCCATGTGAGAGAGATACATCAATTGGTTGCCTCCCGCATAACCCCGACCTGGGCTGGAAATCGAACCTGCAACCCAGCTATGTGTCCTTGACTGGAACTCAAACCCAAGTCAACGCTCTAACTGCTGAGCCAAACCAGCCAGGGAGATTTTATTCTTTTTATGATGGTCTAGTGATATTTTTTTTTTTATTGATGCTACCTCAGAATTCTTTTGAAAATGAACAAAGGATATAAATAACTTAATAATTTAATTTCCTTCATTATTACTATTTATTTTCTTCCTCAGTGTCCCTCAAAACTCTCCCTTTCCTGTACTCCTGTGTAGGCTGTTCACCCCAAACACAGTCCCTGCTATTTCTAGCATTCAATGACTTCTCCCAGACTCCTAAGGTTGAATGAACCATTCATTTGGCCACTAATTACTTTTCACATTCACTGTCTTTTCATCTGCATTGTGTTAAGTTCCTCAAAGACTGTGAGATCCTAATGGGTAGACAGTACATCTTACATATATTTATATTCCCAGCAGCATCAAAACAAGCCTTGCATACAGCAGATACACAGTAAAGATGTGTTCTGTTAATGGGAAGAGTAAGTCAGCATTTTTGAAAGTTCACTGGGTGAAACCATGTGAGAGTTAGGCTGAAAAGGAGTTTCTATCTTAAAGTAGTTTACAAACCAAAGAACTAAGATAGTAAATTACCTATGGAGCCAACAGGAATTGCATATATGTAAATACATATAAAGTTCCTGGTATGACTGCTTTTGGCAGGATTAGTCAGTGTTCACAGAGGCTTTTAAAGGGAATAAGACTTGTGAGGTCATTTGGTCACAAAATAATGACTCCAATGATGTACAAGGCGACAGTATTTAAAGAACAACCAGAATATTTCCCTAGGTGTAGTTACAAACGACAAGCATCATTAGACAGTGGAGGTGAACTTTGGGGATGGCAGGCAGAGGGCCTAGAGGCAGCAACACAGAGCCAGAGCCTGGTTTTCTTTGAGGTGATTTAATAAGGTAAAAATTTGGGAAATGATGCACAACTACTGACAAGAATAGATAGGAGGGAGAAAGCTAGAATATGAGGCCTGACAGTAACTACTAAAGATTCATAGCAGACAGAACACAGTGGCTACTTGCACTCAGTCTCAAGTGGGAATTTCAGACAATGCGTTTAAGAGCCCACCTGGGCACAATTGCCATGATAGCCCTACGGGCCAGAGCAGTTCTTTCTATCTCATCTTCTTAAATCTGAGACCTCCTCTTAGAGTAAAACAACACCCCATCCTCCCCACCCCCACCCACCAAAACCCACTCCCCTCTCTGTCACAGAGCTGTAATTTCAAGTGTGTGGCTTACCACAGAGGCAGTATAACAAAATGGTTTAAAGCAACTCCTGGGTTCAAATCTCAGCTCTGATACTCATTAGGTGTGTACTCTTATGGGAACATATTTAACTTTACTTAGCCAGATATAAAATTAGAATAAAATTGTACCTGCCTCTTAGGTAGATAAATAAAATGTTTAGCAAATTGAGTAGCTCAGTAAACTCTCACCCAATATTATTTTTAAAAGGGACAATAAGGTATGGATTTTCGGATCCTTGATACCCAGGTTGGAAGTCACTGTCTTAGAAGACAAATGCAAAGCACAGCAATAAATTCCATCAGCAAGGATTTATGTGGCAACTACAAAGTTTAGCACTGTGCCAGGGGCTACAGAAGCCAACACAACATCCAACAAGTAAGGGGACAATGCAGAGGATGGATGATGGAAAGATGTGGGATTGGTGCAAAGGTTAAAAGGAGACAAAAACTTGCCCAGCCAGTGTGGCTCACTGGTTGTGCATCGACCCATGCACCAAGAGGTCGCTGGTTCAATTCCCGGTCAGGGCACGTGCCCAGGTTGTGGGCCTAATCCCCAGTGCGGGGCATGCAGGAGGCAGCCAATCGATATTTCTCTCTTTCCCTCTCTCTCCAAATCAATAGAGAAAAAAAAATTTTTTTTAAAAAGGAGACGGAAACTCAAGGAGTTTAAAGTTGGAAATGGTATGGGGAGACAAAGATGTCTGGTCAGGGAGTTGCATGCTGCACATGTGCTTAAGGAAGACTACCCTCTGGCAGTACACAGGACAAATTAGAGTAGGGAGCACATCTCTCACCACTCAGAACCAACCAGAAGACTGAGCTCAAAGCTCTAAATAAGGTTCCATTGCTAACCTGCATCGATTCACACTTCTGGTCACTTAAATTGGTCTAAGCCATACCAACAATTATATTAACAGCTTAACTAATTTCTTCATGATAGTTAAAAAAATAAAAAACTTTACCTTCTAGAGCTCATGTAAGCTTAGTAAGCACTTGCGCTTCAGATCCAGGCTAAGAAATTGGAAAAAGGGGAACCACCTGCAGAAGAGTCTGCAGCATTAGAAAAGGATAGACAGTATGTAGGCCCTTGTCTGAATTTAAGAGTTCTCGTCCTCAACTTCACATGCTTGACCTACTCACCGCTCTTTCCAGTTTTCAAACACTTGTTTATTGTAATTATCTTAAACACAATACGATGCATGAATAATCAGAGCTTAATCAGATATCCAGTAGTAAAATCGTCTAATCTTTTATGACATTCCATCTGGCCAATTTCAACTTCTCTAATGCTAGATCTTTGAGATTCGAGTTTGCATCCCAACTGGGCACTTCCTAGTTGTCTGACTTCAGGCAAATCAAACTCCCATTCTTCAGTCTCCACCTCTGTAAAATGGGGATACCCCCTCAGAGACTAGTTGTGAAAACTAAACTAGTTCATATTAGTCAGGTGAATAAAATATAATAAACACAATATGTATTAGCTATTATTGAGTATCATTGGCTTCTCCCACAGCTGTCACATTTTTTCAACCAAAATACATGGGCAAAATTATTTCATCGCCACTGAATCGCAAACAGCACAGCTTGATGAGACCCAGGGGTCAGCCCGTACCCGCTGCAACACCTCCAAGAGATGACTGTCACAAGCTGGCCATGCTCAGCCTGCACGAAGCTCCAACGTTCAGGGCTGCTTCTCCTCAGTCAAGGAACTCATTACTCTGGACGTGGAACTCCAGCATATGTGAATATGAATCTCAGAAGTTCGTGAAATTTAAAAAACTTTTGGTGAAGTATGCTTTTTTTAAAAGGGGCATTTCCTGATCTGTGACTCCACAGCACTACTTTGTCATTCTCTCTTTTCTATCTGGAAACCTGATGAGGCGGAACCAAAACAGCAAAAAACGTCCTTCCCTGCTTCCCAAGCATTAGCAGGGAAGTGGCCCTCCGGGGACTCCACACACACGTTCACGGATGAACGGTGCTCTTCCCTCCTGGGCGCTAGGGTCCGCCAGGAACTAACTTCCAAGTGCACCCCAGGGGGCTCGTCAAGACAAGGGCTCCAGTGGGCTGTGGACAGGTGAGGGCGGGTGGCCTTGCTCAGGTGTGAGGACCACATCCCCTGCAGAGCACGCTTTCCCACACCTGGGGGGACACAGAAACAGTCCACGCACCGAGCACACTCCCCCGGCCGCCTCTCCGGCAGCACACGCCTTCCGGGACGCCCCGAAGGCTGTTCCCGGAACGCAGGCAGCCCGGGCGCAGGCGAGGTGCGCACGTGCCCGGGCAGCAGCAGGCCCGGCCCGGGCCCCCGCCTCCGCACTCACCTGGCCCGTGATGCCAGTGATGAGCGCCACCTTCCTGGGCTTGCCCATCTCGCCGTCCCCGGAGCCCCGAGCGCTGGGGCAGCGTGCCGGCGCGTGTGCCATGTCCCCGCGGGCGAGGCGGAGGGCAGGGCGGAGAGAAGGCGAGCGGGGCTGAGGCAGCGGCGCCGGAGGGCCGTGGGGGTGTGCCCGCGCGCGAGCCGCCTTGCCCGGGATGCAGGGAAAGAGCGCACCGCGCGGCCAGCCGCCACAATCTGACAGGGGAACTCCGGGGGACGGGTGGGAAGGGCCGGGGGCGGGCCGAGGCGGGTCCGGCGGCGCTGCGGCCCCGCTGCAGCCTGGCGGGCGTCGCGTCATCGCGTAGGCCGGCCACGCTCCCGCGGGGCCTGCGGCAGGCCCCGCCCCCCGTCGACGGCCGCGCGGGCGGGACGGGGCGGGGCGTCGGAGAGGCGGGGCTTGCCGCTGGGCTCTGCGGCCTCTGGCTGGCGCTGATCCGCGGCCTCAGGGAAGGGGAAGGCCCTAGGTCTCTGCCCCTGGCCAGGCCTGGCGAGTGGAGGCGGCGGGCCGTCGGCGGCCTGGACCTCAGCATTTTTCCTTCCGGGGAACCCCATGTGCTCTCTTCTCCGTCTGCTCTCCTAGGAATCCTAACAAGTATCTGAGGGTGCTGGGAGAAGCTATGGGCCGATCTTTCCATGAGGAGAAAGCCCTGAATTCTAAATCTGGGGGTCACGGGGCCTGGGTCAAAGGCTTTGATAAATAATGTCTGGAAACCTGTTGCAATGCTCATTTGAGGAATCTGGTTTTATGTTTCTTCAAGGGCAGTAGGGTCACAAGGCCCTGGAATGGGGATCATAGTTGTGAGGAACAAGTCACTTGGCTTTCTCCTCTTCTGGCATATCCCAGAGTTCAGAGGACTAACAGGATGCAAGGAAGTCCCTGGTCCCACCCAAGTACACAATAAAGAAATGTTGAAGACAGTGCACGGGTCAATAAACCTGAACGTGGCCAACTTAAAAAAAAAAAAAAAAGTAATTCAATACAAGGTGGAGTCCTAGTTTACATCTATTGAATTTGGCTTCCATGTGGCAGCTGCACAGAGCAGGGGAAGGCGTGGAGGTGACTGAGACGCTGGGAGGCTAGCAGGTGTGTGTACCTAAGCTGCTGACTGGGATCCGGGAGGAGACAGAAACTTCCTTATCTCCACTGCTCTGCTTGTGACACGCAGGATCTTCACATTAAATCACAAATTAAGTAACTAGGAGAGTGCTCAATCTAACACACAAATCAGACCTCAAATCCCCAAATCAGAAAATCTCAGGATTAAATTAAACATCTCTATTCCCTCCCTTGCCAGGTGGCTCATTTGGTTGGAGTGTCTCCATGCACCAAAAAGTTGGGGGTTTGATTCCCAGTCAGGTCACAAACCTAGGTTGTGGGTTCCATTCCTGGTCGGGGCAGCATGGAAGACAACCAGTCAATGTTTCTTTCTCACATCAGTGTCTCTCCCTTTCTCTCTCTCTAAAAATAAATAAAAACATATTCTCAGGTGAGGATTTTTTTTTTTAAGTCTTTATTGTTAAATGTATTACAAATGTTCCTCATTTTTCCCCCATTCACCCCCTCCTCCCCACACCCTCCCCCCTCCCGCCTTTTCCCACACTATTGCCTGTGTTCATTGGTTATGCATATAAGTTCTTTGGTCTATTTCTTCTCACTCCCCAACCCCTTTCCCTTTGAGGTTTGTCGGTCTAGCAATGAATTTGTACTTCTTAATCCCTTCACCGGTTTCACCTATTCCCCCAAGCCCCTTCCCATCTGGCAGCCAATAAAATGTTCTCTGTATCTATGAGAATGTTTCTGTTCTTCCTGTTCATTTTGTTTGTAGATTCCAGTGTCGATAGATAGGTATTCATTGCCATTTTGTTTGTTCATGTGTTTTATCTTTTTCTTCAAAAAGACCCTTCAACATTTCATATAATAATAATGGTTTGATGGTGATGAACTCCTTTAACTTTTTCTTGTCTGGGAAACTCTTTATATGGCCATCGATTCTAAATGACTGCTTTGCAGGATAGAGTAATCTTGGTTGTAGGTTCTTGCTTTTCATCACTCTGAATATTTCTTGCCACTCCCTTCTGGCCTGCAAAGTTTCTTTTGAGAAATCAGCTGACAGCCTTATGGGAACGCCCTTGTAGGTAACTAACTGCTTTTCTCCTGCTGCTTTTAAGATTCTCTCTTTGTCTTGAACCTTTTGCATTTTGATGATGATGTGTCTTGGTGTGGGCCTCTTGGGGTTCATCTTGTTTGGGACTCTCTGTGCTTCCTGGACGTGTATGTCTGTTTCCTTCACCAAGTTAGGATAATTTTCTGCCATTATTGTTTCAAACAGGTTTTCGATTTCTTGTTCTCTCTCTTCTCCTTCCGGCACCCCCAAGATGCGAATGTTGGCATTCTATTATTGAATCTGTGTAAATTATTCTTTATTTCAGTTAATGCCTCCTTCATTTCTGACTGAGCATCCATCATTTCTGACTGGTCCTCTTTTATGCTCTTGAGGCCCTCCCTAAGTTCACTGAGGTTCTCACTAAGTTCATTGAGCATCCTTATAAGCAGTATTTTGAACTCAGCATCTGTTAGGTTGCTTATCTTAATTTCGCTTAGTTCTTTTCTTGGGGTTTTGTTCTGTTCTTTCATTTGGGGCCTGTTTCTTTGTCTCCTTATTTTGGCTGCCTCCCTGTGTTTGTTTCTGTGTATTACTTAATGAGAGGTATGGAGCTATCTGAGACCAGGTGCTGCTTGTTTAAAAGAATTTAGGAAAACCTGAAGCAGGATCCGAGACAGGCCAATCCTATGGTTAAGCAACTGGCAACAGCTTGGGTGGGCCTGAAAGTTGGGTGGGGTGGGGCGGGGCCTCAGGGAGTCACCAGGGCGGGGCTACCAGTGTGAGCCAGGTTGCTGGAGTCCCAGATATGGTGACTGTCTGCCACCTCAGGGAAGGGCTCACCAAAGGAACAAAGGCCTCTGACAGCACGTCTGTCCCGGAGAAAGCCCCCTCTCCAGCCCTCCCTCCAGTGCCAAACAGCTCAGTTCTTCCCTGTATATCTCTGGTGCCCCTGGAGCTGCCTCCCCTCCAAGCTCAGAGGGAGAGAATCCGGTAAGTCCATGCGCGGGCCCTTTAAGGAGCTGCCTGGGCTCCAGCTGCTTCAGCCTCCCTGAGCCTCAGTTCCCGCTGGTTTTTCCAGCCAGAAGTTATGGGGATTCTCTTCCTGGCACTGGAACCCTGAGCGGGGCGCCTGTCTTGGTAAGAAGGATAACAGTAGAAGACCCATAAAAATAAAATCGATAATATTGTAGGGCTTGTAAATAAAATAATTATATAACATTGAGGTAAATAGTAGTTCAGAGATACAGCAGAAGTTTAAAAAAATTAGATTTCTCTAAAAACTATAGAAAGGTGGTAGAACAGTATGTTGGTTTGTTGGGCTGTCATAACAAAATACCCAGACAAGGTGGCTTAAACAATAGAAATTTATTTCCTCACAGTTCTGGACGCAGGAAGTCCAAGATCAGGATTGGTTTCTTCTGCAATCTTATAGATGGACATCTTCATGTTTACATGACAGGCTCCATATGTATCTGTGTCTAAATTTCCTCTTCTTATAAGGACACCAGTCATATTACAGTAGGTACCCCCAATATCCTCATGTTAACTTAAGTTACCACTTTAAGACCCCTATCTCCAAATAGTCACATTCTGAGTTATTGGGGTTAGGACTCTAACATGTTAATGGGAAGGGTACAGTTCAATCCATAGCAAGCAGTTGGAAAGAAAAGAGAGGTTTTTCTTGGTTTTGGGGGTGATGTGGGGGGCAGAAAAGGGGCTGGTTTAAACATAATGCAAAATATGAAGGGCAGGGCCGCAAACTCCAAGTTCTCTAAATGGATAAAAGTCAATTGTATTAGCCCAGGCTGCTAAAAACAAAATACCTCAGAATAGGTGGCTTAAACAACAGAGATGTATTTCTCACGGTTCTGGGGGCTGAGAAGTCCAAGATCAAGGTGCTGGCTGATTTGATTCCTGGTGGGCGCCCTCTTCCTGGCTTGCAAAAGGCCATATTCTTACTGCTCCTCTCTTGGTGAAGAGAGAGACACCTCTCTTTATAAGGGCAATAATCCCATCATGAAGTTTCTGCTCTCATGGTCTAATTACATCCAGACCACCATCTACAAATACCATCACAGTGCAGACTAGAGCTTCAACATGTGAATTTTGGGAGGGCACAATTCAGTCCATAGCATCAACCATTTTGTATAATAATATGTTGAATAAGTTATTTCACATCTTTGTTTTTTATTTCTTGACATTGAGTAGTAGATGCCAATTATTTAAGAATAATGCCTCTGCTTTCCCCTCCAAATTATCTCTTCTCTTCTTTTAATATTTCTTTCCTTTGCTTTTCACTTGTGCAACATTCGCTAATCTTCTTTCACCATACTTAGTTTGGAAAACCAGTGTTGATGCTTAGCGTGTATGGAGCGAGCACGTAAGATGTGCCATATCTTATTTAATTCGATGTGGTAAGTATGATAACAATTCCTATTTTGTAGAAATTGAGAATGAGAAAGGCTAGTAAACTTGCCCAAGGTCACATTGCTAATGGCTGGTTATGGTAGATATCATGACTGGTTATTTCAGTTCCCATTCCACATTCTATTTGGAAAAACTGAAGTGCTAAACCCACATTTCCCAGATCAGTTTGCATCTAGTGTCTTGGAAGCATATTGAGTTCTGTCATTCAGACATGTTCTCCCTTAATCTGGTAGGTGGAAGTGAAACAGAAGCCATCTTTTCACATCTTGGCACACTGACCTGAGAGTTTTTGGCATCTAGACTCCAAGTTTGGGTCTAGTCTCACAAGTTTCATGACTACACATCCAGATGGGATAGTGGCAGAAGTAGTTTCCTAAATTCTGGCTTAGAGCTATACGGCTGGCTTACATATGTGCCCTTGACATCCAGACTAGGCTTCTGTTCCTCCTCCTCTTACAAAGATTTTTTTTTTAACTGAAGTTTTTATTTAGATAATTATAGATTCAAATATATTTCAGTAACACAATGATATCCTATGTACGTACCCTTTAACCCAATTTCCCCCATGGTCACATCCTTAAAAGCTATAGTGCACTATCATAAGCAGGATATTGACATCCGCTGATCTTATTCAAATTTTCCCAGTTTTACTTATACTCATTTATGCATGTATGTGTGTGTTTAGTTCTA